CCCCTGCTTCCACACATAGCCATTACTGATGAGGTGATCAGGCCAGGCCAGTATGGAACCCAGGTACACTTAGGTTCTACAGATTCTTCGTGTTTCCAGGAGACACTCTGGGGCTCCGGAGTTATTCCTGACCTGCAACAGTGTGGGTCCCGGGACGCCTCTCTCTCTCCTGAGGGAAGACACAAGCGGATTCCCAGCAGAAAGCTGCTGGAAACATCTCCTGGCTTGGATGCTGACATGTGCGGTTAAGCTGGATTCTTTTGAAAGTACTTAAGGCTCTGGCAAGCACTTACTGTACCTGACAAGCCCTCTGTGCATCTGCCATGAGTGAATCTCATCACACTTTCGGCATGGCACATGTGTGTCTGATTGTACGTGTTTGTGTGTTTGTGTGTTTGTGCACTGCTTACTTGCACTCTCTGCAGCTCTGTTGGCTTCTGGAGAAGCGCTTTTTCAATCACTCTGTTTATTAATACCTTTCGGTCTGAGAACGATCTACTGTAGCCACTACACATAAATTGTACATGAAAGACAAATACATAAAACATACACATCATGAAATTAAAAGAAATAATTAAGTTAGGTATTGAAGGCCACTGCGAAAATGTAAGTCTCGAGGCAAGATTTTAAAACTTCAGCTTTTGTATGGAAGGAGCTTATTGCAAGGAAGGGCACTGCACTAGATCGTGTTTTCAAACTCGTTAAACCCTCATGTACAAATATGACAAAAATAGCACCGTTTAAACAAGAAGAAACCGAATGAAACCAAAACCTTTAGAATGAAAAGGTCAAAAAACCCACCTCTTCCTGCACCAGTCTCACATTCTGGTGCTCAGTAAGACAGGAAATATCGGAAGAAAGTCCATTTGATGATTAGAAATAAAACATGTCCGTATCTCAGTGTTTGCATCTATTTATGCACGCAATTGCGCGATGTTTTTTTTCTTAAATAGAAACCTGTTAAGTGTTCTCTGCAGGGACGTAAAGTACAGTAATACTGCGAAACATCAAGAAATATATTTTGTGCAAAGAAATTTATTTTCGCCCTGAAATGGGAAGAAAATGGGGACCGTAAGTTTATTTTTCCTCCCCTCTCTCCCACCCTGCCAGAGTGAATCACGCCTCGCGTACAGCATGTAGGACTGCCCAGAGAACAGGCCAGGACAGGCCAACACCTACACACCAGCCTGCACCAGCGTCTGCACGAATCCTTCTGCGAGCGCAGAGGAACAGCAGAGCTTCTTGCACCTCTGGCTGTGTGTGGTCTGCGCCTTTAACAGTGAACGGAACGAACAGGGGCTGCCATTACACCTCCTTATGCAAGAGACACAATGACTGTTATTGAAGCGGTAGAGTATGCCAGTGTTAGTAGTTATTTTAAGGCTGCTGTTGTGCCACTGATTCATAAGCAACATCCAGCCCTGGGATTAAGCCTGACCTCAGTGTATCACGTAGTGGGATGAGAGGCAGGCAGGCATGCCCTCACACAAACTTGCAGAGGAAATATCTAAGCAGCCTTGACCAGCAAGGCTAAACAGATGTACAACTGTAAACAGGAAGGGGGGCTTTTTATATAATTGGAAATGGCATCAGAAATCCTTGAGAGGCACACCAGAGTCGAAGCACAAACTGCAGGTCACAGACTCCTGTTGTGCCCGACAGGAGCGTGACAAGCTGTCCGTGCCGGGCGAATCCGAGCGGAAGCGATCTTTTCCGTGGGCTCCAGGACAAAAATCCCTGGGATTCACCCTCTTCGACTGAGGGTGCCGGGATGCTGGTCGATCGTTTCCACTGTAATAAAGGTTTTAAATCAGCGTGCTACCGCAATGAAAAAAAAAATATGGGGGGAGGTATTTTAGCAAAAGCATTGTTTAAATGTTGGTGAACTGTCGTCTGGTTCAGGGCTTAGGTTTAATCCTTCCAGTTGTTTCAGTGCTGGGAAGCGTCACAGTGTGAAAACTCCTTTGTGCATTAACGGTAACATCCCATCGCAACTCACCTTTCACACTTGAAAGGCTGGTTAAGACGCCACCTGAGTCTTAACTTACAGGCGGTCTAAGTATGTAATTAACTGCATAATTAAAATACATCTAATTGGATTCCACGGTGTTTCAGAGGTTGCTTTAGCATTGATGATGTAAATGTCCCTGAAGACCATCAGAAAAGTCCTGCGTTTGCCTAACTGTAAGTATAAGGTTGGAACAGAAACCCAGCCCTCATGGGTCCGATCCTCAGAACAGACACCTCTGAGGACCTTTTTTAAAGATTTGAATGCTGCTTTGTTCACATTTCAACTTGTTTCAGTTACAATTTATTGTATATATATATTATTTTATATCGTTATTTTACTAGAGCTGCTTATCTGTAAAATGTGAGTTATTGGCCATTTCCTTTTTATGATTGAAAACGTAAAACCGGTTAGAACATATCTCCAATCTTACTGGAAATCTAATTTTAATGCAAATCCTGACCTACGCCCAGCCATTAATACAGTCCAGGCCACATGCTATCTAAAACCTAAAACCAAACAAAATCCTTATATGGTTCCTTATATTTATATTTTTTTAACAAAACGGACGTGTAATTTGTAAAAGTAATTCAAATGATCTAAATGTTCTCTTACATTTTCTATAGCGTTGCAATTCACTCTTTTAACAAGAATGAATCTAGATGTTTAAAAGGTACTACCGTATTTACGTTTTTAAAACAATACTCGTTACTCCTGTAAAATGCAATATCGTGAAGAGAGGCGAACTGATGGAGTTTCAGAGTTTAAAAACTCGATTAAACTCATAACACCGACACAAGGAATTCGGATCGTTGCAGTCGCCGTGCGCCACCCGGACGTATTTTGAAGTCACACGTCCAAGATGGCGGCGCCCGCAGCGGCTAAAATCTTCTCCTTTCAAGATTACCGGGCGGTGCCAGACCCGGTTCTAGAAGTCAGCCCCGAATGCCTGCAGCCGTCGCCGGTTCCGATCGTCATAGACAACGGCTCTTTCCAGACGCGGGCCGGCTGGGCCGGCGCCGGGGACGAGTTTTCCGCTCCTCGGCTCCAGTTCAAGTCCGTGGCGGCGCGCAGCCGCGGGGCGGCCCGCAGCGAGACCCAGATCGGCAACGACATCCCGAACCTGGAGCCGCTGCGGTGGCTGCTGAAGAGCCAGTTCGACCGCAACGTCGTGGTCAACTTTGAAATCCAGGAGCTCATGTTCGACTACATCTTCATGCACCTGGGAATCGCCACCGAAGTGAGTCCGCTCGTTTGTCTTCTTCATAATTAATAAGTGTCATAAGTGTATGCTTTGTTGATTAAACCACACAGAAACAAACGACTGCCTTCTGTCTTCCACTTGGCCCTAGTATTAGTTTTCATATTCCTTATTAGGACATGACGGTCCGACTGTGTTGGCTCGGGAGCACATATGGGTCGCACTGTATCTCGGTTTGCTGGGCACGGCGTTGCACAGTAACAGCATCCTCAATCTTATAACTGTAGCTGACACGTCTTGCGACTTATTACATTTCCAAACGGAAAGCTCAGAATACTAAAACGATGCTTGCAAAACAATTTTTCACGTCAAATATTAGACAGAGCCCTTTTCATCCACGTTCTGTGTTTTGTGTTTTTTTTTTGGTGCAGCTGCAGTGCAGTTGTGTTTTTCAGTCATGTGGTTTAATAATGTTGGCTTGCAAGGTGCCTGGTCCCCCCCCCCAGAACCCTCCTTTCCCCTGCAAACCGTTCTGAGACGACCAGGCCGAAATAAGGATCTGTGCGAGAGTGTACCGGGTGTTTGTCGCTGTCCCGGCAGGGTTGTGTGGAGCACCCCGTCGTGCTGACCGAGGCGCCTTGCAACCCCCTTCACTGTCGGCAGATGATGTCCGAGCTGCTGTTCGAGTGCTACGGCGTCCCGCGGGTGTCGTACGGGGTGGACAGCCTCTACAGCTTCTACTACAACAACGTCCAGCGCAGCCTCTCTGCCCCGCACACCGGCATCGTGATCTCCTCCGGCTACCACTGCTCGCACATCCTCCCAGTCATCAACGGCAGGTAATAATAATAATAATAATAATAAT